GTCTCGTCCTGTCTCTCTACACAGCCTCTGAAACTCTACCTGATCCCCCGCCATCACGACCCTTCATTATTATATACCGGATCGAGATTTTCGACCCAATCGTATTAGATGGAGCCTCCTGAAACCTGTCAGACATAAAACGAGCTCATCTCTAAAGCTGGCTGCATGCTGCGATTCGAGAATATATTCTTTATCATAATTTCAGTTAATCTTAAAATTCTAATGCCTTGAAATATATTCGATATTTTCGAAAGTCCATATAATGTGCGGAATGTAAAAATGTTTTATGTATGACGCTAGTGACAACATGTGTATCGCAACAGATATTGGCATTTAGCATATTAATAGAGGAATATTTATGCAAATGGAAAGTTACGTCTAAATAGTTTTCATTTCGATCATCAGATCAACGTAACATATTATATTAACATATTGATTGTGCAATACATTGATTTACAAAACTTATTTTTCAAAATTAAAATTCTACTCTTAATCTCTAAACATACAGCCGTATTTGATATTAAGCGAGTTATTTTATTTTGTAATCTTCATATTTATTAGAGTCAGTTGCCGTATAATATGATATGTATTTATTCTGAATAATTGCTTTCATTTACTCGACAAGCGTTATATCTCGATATGCAGCTGTTAGGAAGACGTGACCAAACAAGAAGCGTAGATTAGTCGAAGAAAGAATGAGAAAAAATAGAAAACGCATACTTACGCGGAAAAAAATAGCACTTGCAATTTTTCAAATGCGACGACTTATGGCTAACGACACCGATCGGTCCCATATGGTACGTGCAACCTACTTAATTGCATCGGCGAGTAACGAGGAAAAATGGAGCAGTGGCGTTACGAATGGCCAAACTCTTATCCTCATTGTCTCTCACGAGATTTATTTATCGGACACTCGTGCGCCTCATTTTCGAAACTCTCGTGTAGCGGGCGCGGCGTATAATTGCCAGCTCTCGAATTTGCGATTCAAAGCGTCTCCGTGCGATTTAAATGTACGTAGTGACGCGACGCGGCCTAGTAAAAAAAAGGAACCCCTTAGTCGGTTTCCCTCATTTGCAACTGTATCCGTTGACTGCGCAAAAGCAATTTTCCATACATGACACGAGAGAACTTGATCTCCCGCAAACTGAAGAATTATTCGAGCGAAGTGAGAATTTAAGTGAGAAACCTTTCTCACAAATTATTACTTGATAGTAATTATTCTGGGAAAATAAGCCGAAAGTTACTATTTTAATAGAATCATGTTTTGTTCCCTCGGAGAGACTCGCGTAGCGAGTGCTACTTTCTTCGACAGTCGCGTGATTGATCTTTCCCGTAGTTATCCGAACGGGGCGAACTGCATGTCATTAGCTGTAATAGGTTCTTACAATACAATAATCTTGAAAATCATTCTACGGTTTTTATTACGCGCTGCGTCTCTCGTAATCCGCGGGAGTTCTAATATTCATCGGTGATCGATCGTGAAAGTAAGAGTCGCCTAATCTTCAAACTGGCCTGTTGCTTCGACGATGGCGATTTCTACGAGGATTAATTTGAGTGAATCATTCGAAAAAATAATCGCGAAGCAACTTTCATGTAATCTCGTACACGATATCGCTATCGATTCGCGGGATTCTACTCGTGAGGGGTCGCATGTATACGGATTACTTCTGTCATATTATATTCAAACCTTCGAGAACTATTTGCTCGACGCTTGCGTAGAGCACGTTTACGATCCCTAAAGATCTTCCACGGCGGCTTAAATCATCATGAAGTATTATCATCTCTAAACCTGTCTGAACAGGTACGTGAACACCGGATGCAACCTTTTGAAAGAAGGTAACGGATGGTTACCGTATGCGAGGCTCACGCGCCACCAGTAAATATTATTACTCACCGTTTGGACAGGTGAAGACATTTGCAGTAGGAACCTGCAACAGAAACGGAGCATGTTTAATTAACGTTGATAGTTAACACACTTGACCGTAAACTATTAGCTAATAATTGATAGTTGCATCTTGAAATATGATAATATCAAAAACGCATTGAATTATTTCATAATATATTAGATTAAAAGGAACTTCTCTAAATTACCGGCTAATAGAAAAATTTGTTATTATAATTTTATTTAATAGCAAAAAATATCAAGGATTTTCTAAATAAACTATATAATAATTATCGATAAGCTATAATAATATCAGATTAAAATATCGCAAAATAGGTGAAAAAGCTTCTCTAAATTACACCAGCTAATTTTGTTAGGCAAATTTCTGTTGCGCTTAAAGGGCAACAAAAATATCAAAACTGTGTGAACGGTTGATGATTTTACGTTTCATCAACAGATCAACCCAACTTTCGCTAAAAGATTATCACATCACAAGATCATACATCTTGAATTTTTCACGATTGCTTTATATCTGAAAGTTGTATGTACCCTTCAATGGGTTTACAACGCTTGTGTGTAATGGCGCGGGCTAAATTCAGACGATGTTAGACGCCGCATTGTTATCCGGCGGGAGAAAGTGGAGACGCAATCCGTCCAACGATCTCTTCGTCTCTTCTGTCTCCCAAGAGCGCGGAAAGTACCCGCTAACTTCGAGAGAGTGACTCGGACGCGTTTCTCGTCTCTGTATTTCGACGTCGCTTCGCACGCGTGTATGTATCAGTGATATAACGGTGACTACATTCCTGAGAGAGGTGCGAGTTACGCACTAGCTGTGTGTATCTGCGCCTTCGTGCATTCTCGCGCAACTCGGTTCGAAAATTAAGCCACCTGTAATACCCCCCTCCCCTCTTCTCCCCCCGATATATCGCACGTGCGGTTCCATTTAAATTCATTCGCTTGTGATACTATAATATCACTTAAAATGTATTTATTAGATTATTGTGTGCAGAATGCAATAATGATTCGCACACGAGAAAAGTTGAGCTGCTATTAAATTTTAATCTGATGGAAGATGTATCAAAAGTACATGTACGTGGGATACATAACGTGAGCAAAGGTATTATAGAATTAAAATCTACTTTACCAGAAAAAATATTAAGAATTTTTAGCATTTCCTCCATGTCTCTCTAAGATCTTTAATTTTCCACACGAATAATTGCTAAACAGATTCCTAGTCTTTTGCAAGCAAATATCTCGCTTTTCAAGAAAACATTCAAGGCGTCAAAGTATCGTGTGCAGAAATGACTGTCTCAGAGACTTGCACATTCGCGTTACATTCTTTCCCCTCTTGCATATCCGACCGCCGCGTTCTGTAGTTAAAATGTAGTAACTTATGTGTATAAGTGTGTGTGTGTGTGTGTGTGTGTGTGTGTGTGTGTGTGTCTCTCAATGATTGAGCGGCACTCTCAACGGCTCGCGCGGGCGCGCTTGCGTATGAAATTCACTTTCACCTCACATATGCCACATCTCGTGGAAACGAGCTGCGGCATACTCTGGTAACTTCTACGGAGAGCTCGCCGCCGACATACCAATTACTTCATAACCCGCGGTTTCAAACCCCTCTCCTTTCCAAGAATCTCTCTCGACCAAGGGTTCGTATCGCGCGAGTTCCTCGCCTAGCGTGTCTTCCTTCTGACCGCTCTTTCGCCTGTCTCGTATAGGGCAGGGCCGCAACTTTCTTTCTTCGTGCTCCGAGAAAATTACCTTCGTCTGGGCGCTCAAATTCTTCGTCGGATTGGTGCAATCAAGGTAAAAACTGCCTGGGATATTTTTATCAAATCTCTGGTAAGGCAAGAATAACTGTTCTTGGGTCACGTGAGAGATGACGATAAATAGACGAGCCGTTAATTTATAATTCAACGGAAACGCGCGGCTCGCATGTAATATGCGAGAGGATCATGAACGCCGATTATAGCCATGAATAATCGCAGTTGACTCCTAACAGTTAACGTAACGCGGCGTGCTTTCGAAACTTGGGTGCGATGAGGTATACATATAGCTGAATGCTCACCTGAGACTCCGTTAGCTGAAGATGGCACAAGAGGACGGTGACCCAAACGGCCGCCAATTCTCTTATCAGCATATTTCTGCAACAAACAAGAAAATCTTTACGTGAGCAGGCGTTAATTTCACGTCGGATGATTATAATTAAACGATCGTAGATATCGTCGCGTAGACGATGCAACGGACGCGATACGCGTAAATTTTCTCACGGATTTCTCTCAGGTTTTTTCGAAAAGATTCGTTGATTGACTAAAGCTTTTATCTTAGAAATATTTAACGATGCAACGCGATATGTAATTGCGACAAGATTTAGCTATTACCTCGACGCGTAATCGCAATTAATCCTTAATTTTTTTCTCGCGTTCATCGTATTAATCCCGAAAGAATGCTTTCCGCATTCTTTCGTGATTATCATCTGGTATTTCTCAGCATTCCGAGTCGAATACGCGCCAATTCTCATAAAATTCCTTACGGTTTCTGCAGCTAAATTGTGGCAGCTGCAGCCGCGTAACCGAGTTTCCCGATAACCGTCACTGGCCGCGAGATTATTATTGATGACGTTACGTTGCACACCGCACACACCTGTATCCATTAACCGTGAAATATCGCATCTATTTCTCGCGCCGCATCAGCCTCTTGAGAAAGGGGGAAGGGAGGGTCATCTAAACATCACGTTCTATTCTCTCTCTCTTTCTCTCTCTCTCTCTCTCTCTCTTCGTGTTGTTCCAAAAATATATCTAAAAGATACATTATAGATGATATATTACGCAATAAATATCTTTTTTACAACGACAAAAATTTGTTTTTATTTTACTTTTTGGATAATTTGTCTGGACTGTTTCATATATATTTATTTATATTATATTGTATGTATCTTCTAAAGATATATTTTCCTAGGATAAAATCTCCGAATAAAATCTAAATCTGCTTAAAGAATATATAAAGCGTTAATATATGTAGTTATAACGGCTAATACAAAATGTCTTGTATGCACGATTGCAGTTGTGTTCCCCAAGTCGCAAGCGATTAGACATATGACGCAACGGCCGCAGATTCGCGGATGAGCGAACTCGTGGGAAGCACTGGAAAGCGATCTTATATGCACTGCGCCTATGCATCGACGCGACGAGGCACTTCGCAAACGGAAGATAGACAGAGAGACAAAAAGAGACAGAGAGATAGAGAGAAAGAGAGAGAGAGAGGGGGGGGGGGGGGAGATCGGCGTAGCAACAGATCGCGAAAGTTTATTATATTTCGCGATTCACGCCGTTATACAGTCGCTTTTATGCAACCGACGTGCCATTGTCGAGGCATACAATCTGGCGCAAACTGGAGCAAGCGGTCGTGCGACTGTCTTCGCGTTCAATTAGCGACCAAGTAATTAGGCCTTCTCGGATTCGGCGCTTCCGATTGCGTCGTGGGAGATCGTGCGAAAACTCTTCCTTGATCGCATGTCGCGCTTTGGGATTTTGTTGCAGTAACGAATAAGATAATTTAAAAAAACTTTTCTGTGTAAAATAATTTTCATAAAAAATAAAAAGCTAAAAAATGATTTTTTTCTAGAAAATAACTCTAAAAAATAAAAACCTTTAAAAAATTAAAACTAAATATAAAATCAAGTTAACTAGCCAAGTACATAGAAGCAGTTCAGTTTGTGAAAGTTTGTAATTTAATAGTAAAGAAATAGTATTTGTTTGATAAAATCAGTCTTGCATTTATAGAAATATTATAGATTCTCTCGAGAAAATTAAAATGCATTTTATTTTTATAAAATTACGTTATTATGTCCCCCCCATAAATACTATTTCTTTACTATTAAATTACAAACTCTCACAAACTGAACTGCTTCTATGTACTTGGCTAGTTAACTTGATTTTATATTTAATTTTGATTGTTTAAAGGTTTTTATTTTTTAGAGTTATTTTCTAGAAGAAAATCATTATTTAGTTTTTTATTTTTTATGAAAATTATTTTACACGGAAAAGTTTTTTTAAAAGTTATTTTTAGGGATAAATATTAAACTTTTTTGACGTACAAGTTGGGATTTTTTTATATATTTGGCGTATTTTTTTTTACCTTTGTGAGGTTTTTTTGTGGGATCTCATTGCTTTTCGTAAAAATTTAAAATTTGAAATTTTTTCTGCCGAATATAAAGTACTACATTATGGAGTATTTACATGGATGCGATTTTTTTAAATTTATTCAATAGAAAGGAAATTCTTTTTTAAAGGGAATTGTATAAACAGTATATATTTACAAAGCTTATACCATATTGAATATAAGTATTGAATATAAGATTATAAATAATCTTAAGTATCAATCACTTATCTATCTTATTTTTATAGATAATTTTAATACAGAAGTTAAACTGTATACAAACCGTATAATCAATAATAATAATATAAATTGTGTAAGTGAATAAATATCAAAATATAGAAAGCAATAGGAAGGAAATTGTTTTTATTACGAAAAAGATGGACTTGTTTCTTATTCATACATTTAATATGACACAAGTCCATTCTATTGAATAAATGCATACATTTTAACAGTATATAATTCCTTCTAAAATGTATTCTAATAAATGATATAACCAAAAGAGATCAAATATTTTTTGCATTTATTGATTTATTAAATATGTTTATATATCACGGAATAGTGCAACACAAGAAGAAAAGTAATAAAGTGGTTAACAGTTATTAAGAATATCGCGGAATAATGCAAGGAAGAGAAGTGATTTCTTCTAATCGATGTCATATTAAGCAAAGTTAGATTATATTAGCGAAACAGAGCGAATGTTTACATTTGAGTGAATGTGTGCATTGTCAAATAACATATTTGTCATAAATACATTGTTGAAAAATAATTATGGAAGATTTTGGCTGACCATGTTTTCGAAAACGATAAGTTAGTAATTATACTCGCGAACGCGCATTTGTATATAATGTTTATTTAATTGTACATTTAAATGTAATTAATGCATAATTAATATTTTTAAGTTAACTTATACATATGGCTAAGCAATGAGTTTATGTTAATAGCAAAATAAATCTTGTGAGAATTCCACCAAAAATATCATAAAAACAACAGCATTAAATACACATTTTTAATTGGCATAAAGAATAATGAAATGATAAAATCATATCGAAGCACTTCTATAATCTACAAACATTTTGTGAATCTGGTATTATTCGTAACTTTTAGTTTTGGAAATGTGTGAATGTTTATTTAGATTTTATATATAAATGTAATTAATGCATAATTAATATTTTTAGGTCATTTAGAGAGAAATAGCTAAACAATGAGTTGCATGTTATGTTAAATAACAAAACAAATCTTGTGGGAATTTTATCAAAAATATTACATAGACAGTTGAATTGAACGCGTCAGAATTAAAGCCTGAAATAGAAATGTTAAGCATTAGTCAAAGAAGAGAAATAAGGTAATAATTTTGTTTATAAATTATATAATAAAGGTTATTTATTTTCTTAGACTAAATTGTCTAGGGACAAGACTTATTGTTAATCTATTTAACTTTTTTTGACATAATGGTTGAACTTATTTTTTAAAACAATAAGAAACGTGGAAATTGATGGTTTATTCAAATAGAGCTGCCTTTTGCAATATGATGTTATCGGAGAGCATTAGAATATCTGTCATCGACAAAAAGTAGTTCAAATTTGAATCAAAATGAGGAGAAAGAATTGATTAGTGATACTAAGTTGCAGATTTTATTAGAGGATTGTATAAAAGTTTATAATAATTTGGCAGCTGCGTTGGTTAAAACAGAATGTATTGAAAGTGTCTAGAGTATGGTTGAGGAGGGAAGAGGGAGCCGCCATTGCAATGTCATCAACATATCTCAGAAGGGGGGTACTGTCATCGGTTTAACCGACAGAGTGTTTCGGTTGTCTCACCCGTTGTTTCATCGGAAAAATTTTGAATTAGTCATTAGGATTTTGATGGATAATGGTTATCCTTTTAGGTTCATTTTCGATGTCGTTCGTGAACGCCTGAAAACTCTTGTTCATAACAATTCTAATTTTGACTGCGATAAACATACTGAAGATTCTGAGAGAGTTTCTTATTTTACTATACCTTACGTTCCTTCAATATCCGAACAATTTAAAAATATAACTAAAGACCTAAATGTGAAACTCTCATATCGTAGTCTTAACAAAATGAACAAGTTTATTAAGGTGCACAAAGATTCCTGCCCACAATCGGCAGCAATGTTGTTTACAAAATTAATTGTGATAATTGCGATGCGTCATATGTGGGATAGACTAAGAGACAATTACACACGAGGATAGCGGAACACAGAAATCATATTCGTAGAAATACGACAAATCACTCTGTTATAACCGATCACAGAATTACTCTTAATCATGACTTTAAGTGGGACAAAATAGAAATACTTGATAATGAACCACATTTACATAACCGATTGATTTCCGAGGTATTATACATTAAGCGACAAAAAGATAGTTTAAATCTACAAACGGACACCGAATGTCTCCCAGAGGCATATTTAACAGTTTTATACAAACTCTCAAAAATTTAATTTTCTGTCGTTCTCCTTTTCACACTCTGCATTTTATTTGCATTTATCGTGTTTTACCATACTTGACAGCGGTTATAGTCATTGTTTTTAATTATTTTATATTTCATTGTAATTTTTATGTTTAATTTATAATTATTTTACTGTACTTGACAACCTTCTAAATGTTATTTATTTATTTATCTATTTAATTTGACAAACACCTTTTTACAACGACAAAAAGTTTGTTTTTATTTTATTTTTTGGATAGTTTGTCTGGACTGTTTTCATATATATTTATTTATTTATTACTTTGATTTTATACTACAGACAATGCTGATATTGTTTTTCATTTCACTGTTTTAACAATTTACTGATAACATTTGTTTTTATCATCTCACCTTTTTCGCCGAACAATACTTCTCATTACTCTGTGGTTAGTTAGTGAGTTTAGTTAAGACTTTGCGTTGCTGGAAAAAAAATTCTCACAAGATTTATTTTGCTATATTAATATAAACTCATTGCTTTTAGCCATTTGTAAGTTAA